ATCGAACAACGATCGATCATTCACGAGGTGGTCAGAACATCCCGAATCAATATACCACTCCAGCATCGATCCCTCCGCGCACTCAGTTTCAGTTACTCCAACAAAACCAAACTTCGTTCTGTTCAGCGACGTGTGCGGTCGGTTTCAGTTTCTATTTTTCATTCTTCTTCACGTTTCCCTTCTTCTTCGCAGGACAATCTGAAAGTTTACGTCCTTCTTGTTTGCAACCAAAACACTTGAACGATTTCATCTTCACATATTTCAATCAACTTGACAGATCGATGTCCGTGCACGGCGAATGAGAACGACTCGAATTTGAGTTTAGTTCACTCATAATCGCCAAAAGTGCAGGAACTCAGCGATGAGTTAATTTGCCTCATGTTTTCCCAGGTTTTTCCAGGATTTTCCAGGGAAAATTCCTGAATTTGAGAAAAGTAAAGATTGGATTCACTCAGTCTATTGGTACTACTCCGAGACTGAATAAAATTTTCGTCAATTTCCTCATTTTCCGGCAGATTTTTTAGGTTTTCCACAGGAAACCATGAGACAAATTTTACTCATCGCTAAGTTCCTGCACTTTTTGCGATTATGAGTGAACTAAACTCAAATTTGAGTCGTTCTCATTCGCCGTGTGTACACTTTGACTCAAAGTCTTTGAGATTAGTACCAGAGAAAAATAATAACCATCTTTACACGGCGATACACTTGTTAGTGTGCGTGCATTAAACGTCACCAACAGAGATGCCAGATTTTTTTTCTATGCAATTCCGTAGACTTATTCAAATCTACGGATTTCTACGGATTTTTTTTAGTCGAAGGTGATTTTTTTTTAGTTCTATGCTGATATTTTACGTTAAATTAAAAATCGATGAAAGAACTTTTGAAAAATTACTAGGGACAGTCCTCTGGGGTTGTACGCAATGGTGACGTCAGACTACGTGGTCTTATATAATAAATGTTATTTATGAACTGCAGCAGGACTTGTGTTTTGGGTAGGAATAGGAATTTGAGTGGGGTTCTCTCTGTTTATACTTTTTAGTATGACTATGATTGCCCTGAAAAGAAGCTTTTGATATGAATTTTAGTTGGGACATGTTCAGAAATTTAACTCTTTTGGAAAATCTTGGTGGCCCTGAAAAGGGCCGATGGTAGTACAGGGATGAATACCATGATACTGCTGCACCTGTAGTTTTTGGTATACTTTCACTGATTGCTTCCCGGGGATAAATGTTCAGCCATAACAAGATGTGTGCGTGAGGACTTCCACGGTGCTTAAAACTCAATCGTATGAAGCAGCTTGTTGAAGTACACACAGCACGTGACTGGATCATCATTGACCAGAGTTGCTCTTTGTAGTGCAGTCAATTCCTGGATAGGATCTGTTAAGTCATTACCATTGCGTCCTTCTGATAATGAAGGAGATTCAACAAATGGGACCACTTCATCTCATTTGCACTAAGTGTGAGGAACATCGTAGGCTTTCCCAATTGTCGCATCATGGTGAACAAATTTATCTTCCTTTGTTACCAATACTTTACTGAATTCGGTATTGATTTGACGAAGGATAGATTTCGCTCAATGTACTGCTTGTGCATTGCAAGCCTTCGGAAACTCTAAGGCGTAGAACTTTCACAACAAATGTTGTGGTTTGCCCACACGCCTGTCTTAACGACGAGTTTCACTGGATGCCATCATGAAATATGTCATCCGAATCCCTGGCTTGAATTTCCGTAGATGGTCAAAACATATGGCAGGAAAAGCTATCTCTTCGCCGTGCTCGTCATATATTAATGACAGATGAACCCTGTTTTGCGCGGCAGAGATCTCCAGGCATTTGTCCTTATTCCAAAGGATCGTTTGCTGTTGCCCAAGCAGCAATTCTGTCTCATTATCCACGGCAATGATTTGCAGCTCAATTTGAGGATCCACTGCAGGGGTTTCAAGACCATCTATGGCGATCTGATCAATTGTGATCCCGTAGTGGCGGTACAGTGGTGTCGTAATCTAATAAGAAAGCCAAGTTTTAACCGTAGTTTCCTTTATAAAGCCGGACAACTACGACGACTTATGGATTACGTGCTTTTTGATGAACACGTTGAAGGCCTGATCATCATTAAGCTGACGGAGAAGAGAGCGGCGTCTTTCTTACACAACGCAAACAGTAGAACAACATTCGAGCAAAAAGAAAATTATCAAATAACTATCATATGACATAGGTGATTTCGTTCTAATTCCTCAATTTGGTGTCAATTAAACCATTTCTGATCAGAAATGTTATTACTAGGACAATTCACACAAGCACACATCAGCAGCTCTTATTATGAGAAAAACTCAAATACATACATTCGTTACGGCCTTCGGTGACTGAGAGGTGAATCTAACTACCTATGGATACCCGAAACTGGTTCCGGTCTGGCCTCATGTACTAGTACCGTCCGATAGTTCAAAATTTATGATTTTTCATCCGGAAGTAAATAGACATCATGCCACGAACACACAGGTAGATATGGTCACATCCGGATACCCAGAAGCAATTTTGGAAGGGCCCCAAAAAGGACCCTTCCTAAACCTCACGTACTGGTACCGTCCGACGGCTCAAAATGTATGATTGTTCATCCAGAAGCGAATAGACATCATGCCATTAACCGACATGTTGATCTGGCCACATCAGGATACCCGGAACAAGTTCCGGCACGACCCGAAAAACAAACACTTCCAAATCCTCACGTACTGGTACCAACAATCAACACGAAACTAACGATTTTAAACTGGCTCACTACTTGACTAGCCTATTGGTCCCAAGCAAATCGACTAACGCACCCCATTCTAGTATAAATTCCAGTACTACACTATGTTTGTTTTGATTCACTATGAAAGTTTGACAGATAAAATGAGGGGTTAGTGGATTTTCCTATGTTTCGAGGGGTGCATCGATTAGCTTGGGACCGAAGAGAGTACCAGAGCTGAGCCAAAAAGTTGAGCACGTTTCTTCGGGACCATCTAGTCTTAGAGTTACCTCTATGCTGGTACCGTCCGACGGCTCAAAGTGTATTATTTTTCATCAAGAAAAAAATACACATCATGCCATGGACGAACAGGTGGATCTGGCCTCTTCTGGATACCCAAATCCGATTCCGGCCGGGCTCCAGCAACAATACTTCCAAAATCTTGTGTACTGCTACCGTCCGATGGTTCAAAATTTATTATTTTTCATACAAAAGTAAATAAACATCATACCACAAACAAACAGGTAGATCTGGCCACATCCGATACCCAGACCCGATTCCGGTAGGGCCCCAAATAGGACACATCCTAAACCTCGTGTGCTGGTACCGCCCGACGGCTCAAAATTTATGATTTTTCATTCAAAAGTAAATAGACATCATGTCATGAACCAAAAAATGTATCTGGCCACATCCGGATACTCGGAACGGGTTCCGGAAGAGCCCAAAAAGGAAACTTCCTAATCCTCCTGTTAATGAATTTAAGTTAACTTAAACAAGTTTCAGTTAAAAGCTACTTGTCTGTCATAGTTCTGAAACATAAAAATGTGTGATGTCAGCACCTGACGTCAGCACCACTTTGATTTCTAAAGTTGTTTTACCATGACTAACACTAGTGTGTTTCCGAAAGTTAAGTAAACATGTTTGGAACCTAATTATGAATAATAAAGGAGCTGATTCTCGACTTTCAAAGATGTAATCATAATTTTCCGATTTATTCAATAACCACCCTATTTTTTTAATGTGTATAATGAATTGTTAATGTTAACGCTAAATTTCTAAACATATTATTTTGATATTATTAGTGAATGGAAAACAAAACATAATCTCGTAGTCCTACATCAACAATGCGGTCGTGTTTTGGACACAACCCTTTACTTTTTTTCTTACCGTGTCCACCACACGGTCGAAAACCTTCAGGATACTGTGATACGGAAATCGTTGATGAAAATGTGATCCAATCTGCGTGAGGACAATTTTTGCTGCTGGAAAATGCCGTCGATATATTGATGAAGTATCTTTGTAAGCCGTTGGTTAACATTTAATCACCAAATTCATCGGTCAGCAGAGGTTGGATGGACCGCAATTTTAATCGTTTATTTCAACTCATCAACTACAATTATGTAAAGTTAGCCGATTAGCATGGACCCTTGTTATTTTTGTGCATATTAAAGGGGTTCATTATTAATTTGAACTTTTAGTAGAATAATAGCACCGGTTGGAAACTAACGATTTAAATTGGCTCACTACTTGACTAGCCTATTGGTCCCAAGCAAATCGATTAACGTACCCCATTCTAGTCGAAATTCTAGTAATACACTATGTATTTTTTTTTGATTCGCTATGAAAGTTTGACAGATGAAATGACGGGTTCATGGATTTTCCTATGTTTCGAGGGGTGCATCGATTAGCTTGGGACCGAAGAGAGTACCAGAGCTAAGCCAAAAAGTTGAGCACGTTTCATCGGGACCTTCTGGTCTTATAGTTACCTCTTTGTTTGTTTCTGCTTTCCGTTTCGCATCGTTCCATTTCGGTTTACTCTATTCCATTTACTAGATGACGTTTGAGCAATTTTTAGTTTGCACGGCGTGCAGATTAGCGAGGTTCAAACTAAAAAGAGTTCAGATTAAGAACGATCAGATTACTGGAGGTCCACGGTATGCGCTGTAAAGGACACATTATAAGAAAAAAAAAGGATTATCATCATCATAAGAACAGATTTTAATTGTGACCATATTGACATTTTTAAAATATCCGTCTGAACCTACCATATTATAACGACTAGCTTCATATTTATTGGTACCAGTGGTTGAGTGACTGTTTTCTCACCCCAAATGGGACGGGGTTCAATCCCAGTTAAGGTCGTTGTGATGTTCTAATTTTCCAAACCGTTGATACGTTGAAATAAAACTCACATATCCATTCATATTTCTAGAATAATTTACATTAAAACACAACCGCTAATCGATTCCTCTCCTACTTCATATCTACTTCCAGCGCACGCTTAAGCTAGGCTGCTGCCGCGTAGACTCCAAACGTTCGGAGGGGCAAACCCACACCTACAGTGCCCTGTCCCGGTACGGACTCACCGGCAACGGGGGCTCCTTTAAGCTGGCTTCCAACATCCACTACGGCACCCCCGTTTCCGCAATTCGTCCCAGTTCGGATTTGCAGTTCTGCCACCAACAGGAATCGGAACTATCATTGCTCCGCAGCGACCCCGGTCGTTGTCGGAAAGCCGAATCGCACTGCGTCTCCATAAGCAGTCAATCGACGACCCTCAGCACCAGCGGCATGGCCCGATCGTCCTCGGTCGAGCGGAAGCAACCGAACGGAAGGCCCAACTGTCGAAACTCCGGTAGCTTCGGTTCACGAGGCAGCATCCGTGTTTCATCCGGTGTGCCACAGGAGAACGGCGACCCGGGTGGGCGACTGTCTACCATAGCGGAGAAGCTACGTCGCGGCACCAAAAAGGTACTGCAGTTCAGCAAGTCACCGTCGACTTCGCCGACCAAGACCTCGTCGGCCGGAAACGGAGCACCGTCTGACCAGCAGGACGGTAAACGCCGCTGGCTGCGGAAGAAAGAAAGTGTCGATTCGGTCGATACCAACACGATAAGCAATTCCAGCCTGAAGGAGTATGACGAGGAAGAGTTTTCCAGTGCCGAGCTCGCGCGATTTATGGCTGAGATCAATAATGAGATTCGTTGAACGACAGAGCGACTGACAGAGAGCGGGATCAAGAATTGAGTAGTACAAATCTTAACCGGAAATGCAAAACAGTGATACAGTAGCGAAAAGCGCCTACTGAAACGGCTCAGGAACGTGTGACAGTGACGGACAGAGGTGTCAAGGTTACTTTGTAGGATAACAATATTGTTGTATGAATTGATTATTTATTTTAAACTTAGCATAACGGTGTGACAATGGAAAGCTGTGAAAACGATGAATTGCGATTAAAGGAAAACAGACGCAGAAAGCACCACTTTAACTTTTAGGATAGAAGAGATTTCGACAATATTGCAAGTTATTTTTTGCAAGTCGCGAAGTGATTTAAGATTTAATCAAATTGAATAAAAAATGTAATAGATTTTAAGGTACAATAAGCTTAATAAATCTTCATCCTATATTTATAAATAAGTGATGTTTCTCTCGTTAAGAAATCCAAATTTTTTGAATAATCAGATCCCAAAATCATTCAAAACCACATTAATTTATTATATTTTTTTTTAATTTAAATTCAAAAAAATTTTAAAGGTTTTGTTCCGATGGGGCGATTGTGGAACGATGTAGATCGGAATCAGAAAACGCGAAAGAAAAGTTTAGGTTTGATTGATAAAGAAAACAAAACCCCGCGCCAACTTGTGCCAACACGTTTTGTTGTTAGATGTTGGCAGTACTGACACTGATGTGCGCTGTCACTTCACTGTCGTTGATGAAGAGGGGCGCACTGATAATTTCAACACTCCTCCTCAGTGTGCACTGTCCACCGCATCCGTAGTAATCCGCATTACAATTATTTCTGCAAACCGGCGAATTTTCTACGCTCTCAAATGCTTCGTAAGTAGATCAGCAGTCATTGGATCCGTTGGACAATACTTGAGTTCGATCTTCCCTTCTTCACAGAGCTTCTTGGTTTCAATGTGTTTGGACCTTCTCGGATTTTACGAATGAAATACAGCTCTGATTATCCTCGTGGATCACCGTTGCATTTTTCTGTTCTTTTTTTTTTTTTTGTTTATTGTTGCCATACATCAACAGGCTGGCTGTAGCCCAAATGATGTTAATAATACTAATCATAAAAATAATAATAGTAAAATTACATGTCAAATAATCACAGAAAGAAAAACAAAGCAACATGGTCAGAATGTAAAAAAAAACATAAATGGAAATACACTAATTTTCTCTGTCAGTCACTGCGGCCGGCGAAAACAGATGAGAATCTCCGACGAAGCGCATCACGTGTGAGGTGAAAGTCGAATACAGATGCGACTCTATTGAACACACGCTGTAGTCCACAAATCGCACCATATGCCCCGTAGTTCGTGCGACGCAGTGGCAGTCTCAGCATGAGGTTGTTACGGAGTGGTCGGGGTTGCACGTTTAGGTCAATTTGCCTTAGGATAGCCTCACAATCTATTCGTCCCTGTAGAGTGTCGGCGATAATCAAAGCTCTGTTGGTGTCCCTTCTAATCCGGAGAGGTTCAAGGTTTATCAGTTGGCAGCGACTCTCGTAGCTGGGCAGCCGAAGCGGATCTCTCCAGGGCAGTCTACGAAGCGCAAAACGAAGAAAGCGACGTTGAACAGATTCGATTCTCTCGGCACCATTGTTGTAATTCGGATTCCAAACCGCAGAACAATACTCAAGCGTCGATCGTACGAGGGAGCAGTAAAGAGATTTTAAGCAGTAGACATCGGTGAAATTCTTAGCTATCCTGAAGATGAATCCTGAAGTCCTAGACGACTTATCGATGACATAAGAAATGTGTTGCCTGAATGTTAGCTGTGAATCCAACACCACACCCAGTTCTTTCACTTGATTCACGCGTTCGAGTGTCGTTCCAAGCAGGTCATAGCTGAATACAATCGGTTGCTTTTTTTCGTGAGAACGTTATGGCAGAGCACTTTGCTGGGTTCACTACCATTCGATTTAAAGTACACCAACTGGCAAAGACATTAAGCTGATGTTGAAGATTGTGGCAGTCAGCGATCGAGCAAATTCGTAAAAATATTTTGAGGTCGTCTGCATATGCTAATCGAGGTCCTTCGATAACCAGGTTCACGTCGTTGAAGTAGAGTAGAAAAATCAACGGTCCCAGATGGCTTTCCCTGCGGTATACCTGATGTGGCAAAGAAGCTAGCTGATTTGCAATCTCCTATAGCAACCATAAGTTGGCGACCAGTAAGATACGAACGGAACCAACTTAAAAGATTTCCGCTCACCCCAAGCCTGTCAAGTTTAGCAATCGCAATGTCATGATTCAACTTATCGAATGCCGCGGATAGATCGGTATATATAACGTCCGTCTGTACCCGTTCAGTCATACTATCGGTAATGTAGGATGTGAGGCATAGCAGATTGGTGGTTGTAGAGCGACCGCCAGTAAACCCGTGTTGATCAGCACTCAGATACTGCTTGCTGTGAGAGAGCAACGGTTCCATAATAACAAGCTCGAATAGTTTCGAAACAGCACTCAGCGATGTAATTCCACGATAGTTATCCACGGCTCGTTTGCTTCCCTTTTTGTGGACAGGAAACATGTGTGCACATTTCCAGAAGGATGGAAATATACCACTGGAGAGGGACATACGGAATAGACGGTGAAGTGGAGTTAACAAGCAAGCAATATGTTTCTTCAAAAACACGGACGGAACTCCATCGGGTCCAGGGTTGAAGGACGATTTGAGCTGCGTTGCAGCGTTAGAAATCATCTCAACGTTGACATCAATTGCACTCAGCGTTTGACCATTTAGTGGGATGTTCCTGGCTGCGAGGGAAACATGGTCGTCACTTAGTCTCTCATCAGTGAACACACTGGCAAAATTGACAGAAAAAAGGCGACAAATATCCTGCGGAGTGGAAGCGACTTCACTGTTCAATTCCATTGACGATGGGAGGCCAGATTCTCTGCGTTGCTCGTTCACGTAGTTCCAGAAGGATTTTGGGTGAAGTTTAAGGTTACGCTGAATACCTCGTTGAAATCGCAGAAAGCATCGACGACTGGCTCGCTGATACTCGTGATTAAGCCTCACGTAGTGATGTTTCAGAGGAAGCGTGCGATACTTCGTAAATCTTCTCAATGCTGCTCTCTTGATCGACTTCAACCTACGCAGCTCAATCGTCTGCCAGGGAGGGTGAGAGTCTTTGCGTTGAATTCTTTTCGGGACGTGTCTGTCACCCATATCCTTTAGTAAGGACCGCAGCCATACTAACTCCTGACAAGCTTCGCAAAGAGATACATACTCTGCTTCCATGGAAGAGAGTGTTACCGACGATTGCTTCCGGCTTATCCAGGAAATAGTCGTTCCTTCAAATATGAACGTAAATCCTAAAGTTGACTTTCTGCTCATCACGTCTCCTGCCCAATCCGCGTCCGTGAAACCAACCAGGTCTCCTCTATCTCTCCAGTGAATTGCAACTTCCAAGACTTCGTGCCAAGTAGGTAGCGCACCACCCAACTAACAATTTTAGCTGCAACTCAGCTTATACAGGCAAAAATTAGCTGCATAAGGCAAATTTTGGCACTATAAGCTAATCTGCAGCTAAAATTGTTTGTTGGGCACCCTCTTTGCGGCCGTCCAATCAGCTCGTGTGACTCGACGACCCAAAATCGATGTGTTCACTGAAATATCTGGCCGTGCATGTACCGATATATAGAGCAACGCCCCGACCAAGCTTCGGTACATTGATAGATCTTCTAACTTCTCTTTACATTCCAGCTTCAGAAACCCTTCATCAATCGGGGTTTATCGCACATTTTGCATCTGACATTCCAAATCGAGCCGCCAACTTGTCTATGTATCCACGCAAACTCAAGCTGTGTCTGCCTTTATCACGCTGTATTTCCATACCCAGAAAGTATTTTAGCTCCTCCTAGGAATGGGCGATGTCGATGCGATTTTTACAGAATCGATTTTGTTGCCTCGAAAAATCGATTTTTTTCATCCGATCTTTTTCTGTTCGATGTTTGACAGAATCGATTTTTCAAAATTGATATCGATTTTTTACTCATTTAAACTTTTTTATAACGCATTTAAAAAAAAAAACCGCCTAAATTACCAAAGGAGAAAATAAAATCGCCGAACTCTTTTTATGTTGTTGTTGGTTATGTTGAATCAAATGTTATCATTGAATTCTTGAAAAAAAAAAAAATGATAAACAAAATGGTATTTCACTATCCCAAAAATATGTTTTTATTTAAAATCAAGCGATTTTAATTCCATCATCCTCAAATTTTGCTAAACACCCTTTCAATCTTGGGCTTTATTTATTTGTTACTTTATATGTTGTGTGTACTTTGGACCCATTCTTTCTAATTCATCCAGCTGATTTTGTTTGCAAAAAAAAAAAACACGCACTCCTTGATGCAAAAAACATTGGAAAGGTGAGTTTTAATACCTACACACTAAGATTATTTAACAGATTTCTGTAAAATTTTACCGAAATCTCAACAGCTGAACGTTCGGTAAACAATTTTACAGTTTTCCTGTAATTATTTACAGATATCTGTGAAAAATTCACAGATAATTGTGAAACATTACAGCTGTTGAGATTTCGGTAAAATTTTACAGATTTCTTTAAAAAAATTTTAGTGTGTACAGAAGATTTTGAAAGCTCAGATATAGAGTTGAAGTTGAATAACACACTTAGAAAAAATCATGTATATTTAGGTGCTCTGAGCCTGACATATACACGCGTCAATTTTGACATAAAATTGTGTCACATAATAGACGTGAAATTCAACTCAATAAAACGTATTTTTCGTCGAGCAACGAACTTTTCTGTCTTGGAGCATTTAATTTTACATTACATGTTTGTTTACGTCTCATCTTTTATGTCAAAGATGGATTCCGTCACATGTAAAATAAGGTATTTCTAACTGTGAAGCTAAATATTCGCAATATTTCTTAATAATTCGGTTTCAATATTTAAATCGAGGGGGACGACTCTATCTACGATGTAGGAAATATTGTGATTTGCTGTGGCTAGCTGTGCGTACGCTGAGTAGATTGAAAGAAGATTTATCACGATTTGGGAGATTTCCTGCAAAAAGATGATGCGCGATGCACGTAGATGCGAGATATGAAAAAAGATTTTTAGAAGATTGATTAGCTAGTGTGAGATTTTTCGAGCATCTAGAATTGAGATTTAGATGTGTCGCCCCCTCGATTTAAATAGAGTGCAATTGCTTTTGTGAATTGGTTTTATACAAATAAATGCTCACACACATACACTAAAACAACAGGAAGAGGAATATTTCGTCTA